TCAGATCTCCTACTTCAACCCTTCTAAGACTGCTTTTTGTCTGCGTTCCAATAAGTTAAGGGGAAAAAACTTTTTACTGCAAGTGTAATTTAGTTTACAACAGATTAACTGAATGTCCTTCATCTTAATAGCTCACTTGACAGGTGGCAAAGCAACTTGGAGTTGGAAAGGAAACGAATTTTGTTGAAAATTACATAAAAAGTGAAAAAGAAGCCTGCAAGGGAAAGGGAGGGGAAAGCGACTTCTCAGGCTTAGAAAAAATTATCCTGTCACATTAATTGACATTCTTCGTGAATTTATTAGAGTAAGACACTAGCATTTCAAAGCTTCTGCAGGTGTCAATTTCTGCAGCAGCCCCTTTTTGTAGGGCGTGCCTCAGAGAAATAGGCTAGGTTTCGAGAAATATGCAGACTTGACCCTTATACCTCAAGAAATTTGTGTAACGGATGCGAACAGTTGCACTGGGCTAAAGTCATATTCTCCCAGTCAAACTCCTCATCGTAGTCGTACTCAAATGCCTTCTCCTCGACCATATAGCACGACGCATCCTCTTCATTGTCCATACCTGGATATATGTAAGTATAAATGGATAGAATGGGATTATAACATAGACTTTCGCCAGCTATATGCGGATTGCGGATATAGGGCTGGAAATTGGCAGCGATGAGCACTGAAGTGCGAGAAGAGATCGTCGTAATGGCTAATGCAATGGAAGAGGCGACTTTGCTATGCTAATTTGTATTAGTTGAATATCATCCACCATGAAGATAGAATGAGCCCTGTTCCAACACCTCCGTAATGCTTAGAAGAAGTAAATAACATGACGAAGTTATCAGAGGGTCTTCGCCAATCGATTACTTAGATTTACAGACGAGGCTCATTCTAGGAAGCTGACACGGAGTAGAGAGTCTTCCTTAGAGGGATATAGCGATATTGCAGGCATCATTAGTAACAAATTCATAATTTGAAAAATCGTCTCTGGAAAAGGATCGTTTTTTCATGTTTGAGCAACGAAAACCTTGTGATTTTAAAAGCTTTTTTCAACAAAAAAAGAATCTGATTTACGGTCAAAGTTTCATACGCAAAGCTAAAGCAAATAGCAGAGATGGGAAATACCGTAACGAGAAAATGGAAATGGAGAGTATGCAAGGATGCTAAGGAATTAGGGCTGTAACTACATCCAAGCACGGAAGCGATCTCGCTTGGTTACGAATAGCGGGATATTATAAATGAATGAATGGAGTGAATGATGAGATGTTGAATGAGTTTACGATCGAATGACTGAATAATTTAGATTACGAGCGAATGATGGACGGATGAGCAGAAGAGTTGAGAACTGGCGGAATGGATGAAGTGATGATTGATTGACAGAAATATATAGTGATGGAATCAATGTGAATATGAGCAAGGGAATAAATATATGGATATGAAAATTATGAGCGTTGAATCAATGTGTGTACGAACGAATGGATGAATGAACAGGATAAATGCATTAAGAGCAATAACTATCTAGTAAAGTCTAAGTTAATCGACATGGCACATTCTCTGTACTTTAAGCGCAAAGCGTATGTCAACGATCGAACGTGTACTAATGTCTTTTAATCGTAAGCCTTAAGTGCGCACGTATATCGTTTCATCAAAACGTCCCACCATAGCCTTTGACATTATGAGATTTTTCACAGTCAAGTTGTTAAATCTTCTAATCGTAAAACTCATTGAAATGTTGATTGGCCAACTCGAGGTTGCACGTAGAATAGCTTAAAAGGGAATGTCGCGGAGATTTTGCGAGTGTGAATCACACATGATGTACTTACTATGTTCTTTCTCATTCATAAAAAATAATCGTCATGATGATAATGTGCCATAGTTTAAGATTCTTAAACAGAATGGAAGATGATATTGTGCTTGCAATTCCGTAACTTTCTAAGCGAATGTGTAAAAGAAAAGACCTCCACAGAAGGTCAATATAATATTGTAGATTGGCAACAATTCCAGTGTTGTATTCATGTTGTCAGAAGATTTTTGCGGAGGAAGGGTGACCAAAACAATTCACAAAAATTTCAAGAATACATGCATTGAAGTTGCTAAGAGTGCTTGATACACTATTTTTGTTGAATGAAATGAGTATCCTATAGATAATGCTAGCCTCTAGAACTCTTTTTGCTCTCAAATTTTGCTTTTTAGAAGAGTTGTATGGAATTTTGAAGGTGTGAAAGGTTTTTTAACAATTATGTTTTAGAATACTCTATGAAACGTTTTTCGCACGGTGGAGTTCAAAAGTCTACACAGAAAGCAATT